TACCTGTGTAACCAAGTTTGGTGTATTTGATTCCTCGTGATGACTTTTTGGCTTAACGAACACCCCGACCACATTCTATATTTAGATGCATCAATTGTTTAAACAGTATCCAAATAAATCTATGATTGTCTATACGGATGAAATCGTCGTCCATAACTAAACTCTAGAGGAACATATCCAACACTTACAAATACTTTTCAAGATTTCTAGGGAGAACATTTTGTTAGTAAAAAGAGAAAAGTGATGCTTTGCTAAGGCAAGCTTTAAGATAGCTAGTTAATGATTTAACAAAAAATAAATAATATCAAATACATGAATTAACATATTAGACCTAAGATTAGTGCTTTTTCTATCTATTACTTGTTAGAGATTACAAAATGATAAGGAAGTTAAGCAAACAAATGTCACTTTTTCTTTATCAAGAGAAAACAAAATACATACCTTCAACCAACAACATTTTGCTTCCATTTTTCTTGTTTATTAGCATATCAATATTCACGAATGTAGATCCATTGCAAACCTTAAAAAGTAGAATCACAATTTAATCAACATAAAAAAAATTATCAAGATGTATCTCACAGAGGAAATAACAATGGTTACCTCATCCAAAGAATTGTCCAAGAGCTCAGCCAAAGCTGTTCATCAAGTGACCAAAGAGACCATCAATATACAAATTATCAGAACTCCGACTATCTATGTGAAAGTATTTTCATCAGTAAGGCAAACAAATAAAGATGTGAAAATGGCTTCACAAGTACCTCCAAGTGCCCACTTGTGACTTGTGGCATTTGAATGCAAAAATTTAGGGTGAACTCGCACATGATCCATCCCTGAAGATGAAACCAATAGAATATTTCAACATCCAAAGTGGCAAAATTATGCAAGAATAACAAGAAAAAACACTGAAGGCCCATGAGCAGATAAGCAATTTAAAAAACAACAAAAAAATAAAAAAAAGCTTTCTCGATGTCAAAATTTCTTAAACTTACTCAAGGCATCATCTAAATGTTGAAAATGCAAAAGATACATAGTGTAAAACTGCAAACAGTATATCAACGTATATATGTCTTCAAGAAAGATGATGAGATTTATGATTGGTAAACATGAAAAATATAACTGCACAAGGTAGAAGCACTCAGAAGTATCCTAATTAGAATGAACATCCAAAAATCATGAGTATGCTTAAACAAAAAGACCATACTGGACAAATGCCAAATGTCAATAAACAAAAGTCTAGATAACTTCCTATACGTGAAAGACATCCAGTCTATTGAGCCATGGGAACAACACCCTCTATATTGATTTCTATAAAATCAGTAAATGAACATTCTATGCAATTAGCTTTGAAGATAGACAATAATAAAAAGAGTTACAACCTTACATTTCTTCAAGAACATTATGGCAAGGCACGTTTGATGAGACTGAAAATGTTGAGCATAATAATATTGTGTTGACTGGAACAACAAAACCAGGCATAGTTTGTACTAATTTGATGATTAATGTTGCTAAAATTATAAAAGAATCTACGTTAAAGAACTGCATTATGAAATTCTTTGAGTGATCGAACCATTAATTTAAGTTCCATTGTATTTAAGATTTATTGAGCGAAAATTCTTGTTCCAATCGAGAAGCAGACATTTGCCAGACATCATTGACCCCAATCTTAATATCAATTTTATCCCTCCGCTTTATTTGATCCAGCGGCATACCAAATCTTTCAACAATATATCAACAAATGACAACCATGATCTTTTCTTTGTCGATTCTTAGCCTCTTCAAGTTGCAATGTGAGTTGTGCATCTCTAGCAACCAAAACTTGGTGACGACCATCCGAGAAACACTAGCGCATCATAACTTCATTAGGAGGAAAAGAAAGAGATTTTGCTGTTGCTGATGCTGTAGCATGCATGATCAAGAACGCAGAGAGGGAAAACAAACAAGCCAAAAAGTGAGCCGTGTCGAATTAGGGTTAGACAAACAGAGCAAGAATATCATACAAACCAACCTCGGAGCGGCGTCGGATTAGGGTTCAAACTCTCGTCGAAGTCCCCCGCCTTCCAGAACTGCTTGCACCGGAGCAATGCCACCGGCGACCGCGAACGCGGTGGCTGCGGCAGCAGCAGCGGCAGCGGCTCCTCGGGCGAGAGGGGGTCGAGGAAGCCGGCGGGCAGAATTCCCACAGTCCGAGACTTCTTGAGAGGGCCCCCCATCCCATCGGGTTTCCTCCGCCGCTTGGCCGTCCCGTCGCCCTCCGCCTCCCAATCGCTGTCACTGCTACTGAGATCGATCACGGAATCGTCCAGCGGCTCCGTAGCCACGACGATCTCCTTCTTGACGATCGAATCCATCGGCACCACGGGCGAAGGGGTAAAGGGCAAGATTAGGGTTCGAGGGAGCACAAGATAAACACCACCACTAATAAAAGACTACAACGGCAAAAAGAGGAGGGCATCGCGAACTGGCTCCGTTTTCTACGAGGCTCCATTTATAGAAGATCGAGCCAGGGAGCGCGATGGCGGTGGAAGAAACCAAAAGGGAAGTGGGCGGAAACACCATGCATTGCTTTGAGTGACGGCGTATTCTCTTGGACTAAATACTTTTTATGTATTCGCATTGTATTCCAGTATTCTTCAGTCGAATTTAAGATGAATTTAATATAAAACAAATATTAAAATTGGATTCCTATTGGTATTCAGATATAAGAGATGAATTTAATATAAAACAAATATTAAAATTGGATTCCTATTGGTATTCAGATATAAGAGATGCGAATAATTTGGGTGCCAGTAACTTTACTTGAATCTAAAAATAAAAACTAATTATTGAAATAGATAAAAGTAAGTGATTTTTGTTATTTAAAATATACTAAAACTTGAGTAGAAAAAAACGACAATAACGTGTCGTTGTTATTTGTTGTATGACAAATACACTTTTGGATGTCCATAATTACAAATAT